CAACCATCTGTTTCTTTTTATGTATTGACACTGAAGGGAACAGAGGTAGCAGGCGCTCTGTCCATCAACGTATTTGTGATTCTCAGGTGCAAGAACTGGTGAACGAGTTTCTCCTTGCAGTCCGTATGTAACCGTGTTTGGCTCTCTCCAGCTACTCTCCAAACGCATTTTTTTCAGTTCACTTGGAATAAAAAAAAAAGAGATGTGCCTGAACTCTCCTCCTCTGGCTATATCTCTGCAGGCATCAGACTGCGAGGAAAAATATTCATATCGGGGGAAATAGGGTTAGGGAAGTCGAAAGCGAAGAGTGGACTGCTTCAGTAAAACTGCTAACCTTGAATTATGAAATCGGAAAAACAGCTCTTGCCAAAATACAGTTCTAACGGAGTTCAGAGTGCTGTCAGCGTTTGCCAAATACCCCAGCCAAGAGGAGATCTCCAGCAGGGGAGGAGGGATCCGTTGCCATATGCCCAGCGTTCACAGTGTTCTGGAAGAACTGTGGAGTCCTTTGGGAGGGGAGGCGTGTGCATGGTCTCAGGTGCACCCTGAACCTTGGTGCCCCGATCCAGCACGAGACGGGAGTAGCGAGGTCAGAGGAGAGTAGGCAAATACATCAGAATGTCTTTGTTTCTCAGACCTTCCAAGGTTTTGCTTCACGTTTCTGTAGTAGTGGGAGGAGTTCTGGCAAACATTATCAGGCTGTTCTACATATGTTTTGACTCTTCTTGTTTTATGTTTCTTCTATGAAAGAGACTGAAACCAAGTTCTTGTCATTTTTAGATCAATGTTTTGTTAAACTATGACAGCTATCCATGACAGAGAGCCAAGTAACTTTTGCAGCTGACCACAAAACTGAGTCTGACTTGCGGTGCTTAGTCATTTTTTATATATTTTTTTTCTACATGACACATTCCATGTGTGTATGTGTTTTTCATTGTTCTTTTTAATATTATTAGACCATTGCTAGGAGCTGTGGTGCAAATCAGTCTTCTCCAGCAGGTTACTTTCTTTGATTAATAAAGTTTTAGAAACTTCTCATCATGTTCTGGATATTGATGAAACCTCTCTGGTCATATTCGAACAATTGGGCTATTGTGAGATTGATTGCTCTCTACAGTAGTATCTTCTGTATTTGCCCATGACTATTTTAAATGATCCAGACAACAGAGCTCCTGCTGCCCCTACAGAGAGTCCTACAATCCAATAGAAATGACCGTTGAGATAGTTTTTCCCAACCTCTGCTGAAGTTCTTCATAGAGGAAAAAGATATTTATAAAATGTATTTCAGCCTTTTGGGGCCTGATCCAAAATTCAGAAAGTTAGAAGAAAAAGAATCACTTAATCTTTAGCAAGAGATCCCTATGTTTCCTCTCCTGCAAGAGCAGAAGCGTTCTGTACCGTTTGTTCTCGCTGCTTTGTGCTGTCCGATTTTTAGCAGGTCTCACAAGCAATTCTTCGCACCGCTGCCCTGGGTTTGGACCAGCCTTGCCTGTTCTTCCCAGCAGTATTGGTTCGAAGCTGTAGTTGGTGCCACTCATGTGTTGCCCATAAGATGAATAGCATTTCATACCTTTGAGGTGTGGGGCAAAACTGAAATGATGGGATTATCACTCTGGTTATTTTCTTACAGCTTTAAAAACCTGAAAGCATGTACGATTTCATCAGCTGAACTCTCTTCCACATTTTTTCTCTGCCCAGCAAGACAATTGGATGTAGAGCTTGATACGATGATACATTTCAGGCATAGTCCAGCATAGTGTGCAGGAATGTGCCACTGCCTCCTGAATTCTGGTGGTTTATCACAACTGCTTTATTAGTGTGCTGCTAACGGAGTTCACCTGTTATCGCCGGGTGGTACCGCAGCTGGCCAATGTGTACACAGCTAGTCCGACACTGCAGAGTAGTGGCAGTTTTAGGAATCTGGAATTTGCTATTGAATTAAGATAATGATGATAAATAGATCCTTTTTTTTTGTATAAACTTGAAACCTCTGTGGATCTCCTGTCTGAAGTCTTTAAATAGGTTTTGTGAGAGGAGGCTGGGCTAGCAGTGTCAGGAGATTGCCAGTTTATTTGGGGTCAGGGGACAAAAGTTTTTTTTTTTTTTCTTTGAAGCTTCCATAAACTCTTCTCATCAACTGAAAGACTCTGTAGGAAAGATAGAGAAATGCTTCTGTCAAACGGAAAGCAGTGAGCCATCAACTGAATGCTTTCAGGCAAAACAACACGGGAGTGCTGCTTAGCCCCGTTCGAATGTTTTGCAATTTTAAAAGTATTTCTGTACATCAGGATTGAGGAAGATCAGCTTCATGTGTTTAATGGGAAGAAGGACAGGAAATGGAAACGCTGCTTACATATGGTGAGGCTTTTGCATCCTGCCAGGCTGTCTCCAATCTCTTTCTGCTCTCCAAATGCTGTTGCCGAGGCTTAGCAATGAGCAGGCATTAGACTTACTCTTGCCCAAGTATTTTTTGAACTTAAACATTTCCAAACATTAACACCGAAAAGTACAGCTGGCTGTTTTGACGTCCTCTATTTCAAGAGCAACCCAGTGCAGAAGTTCTTTTTAACTGCTGCCCCATCATTCCTGATGGAATTACAGTGTCATCCTCTATATTTCAGTAGCACGGAGTAAATTGTCACCGTGTTGAAAGAGCCGTCTCCCCGCTGCCCCGTGTTTGGGCTGTCTGGAGGGCCACCTCCACGCACTGGGGCTGAGCGGCACGGCCCGGAGCTCAGCGCTCCCCTGGCACTGCATCGCAGCCCCTCTTCCATCACACCTGCGCTCTCTCACTTCATCTGATGCGACCGTACCTCAAAACACAACACTTTGCCCAGGATGGATGGCAGCAGAGCATCTGTAGGCTTGTTAAGTCCGGCTCTCATAAACGAGCCGTGCCCGGTGTGTACCTTGCAGACAGCGTGCCGGAGTATTTGCTGCCCTTAAGACTCTGTCAGATCATGTCAGCAGTGTGGCTCCGAATGTAACTGCCTCTGACTTCAGCAGCCACGTTTACTGCATAAAGAAGAAGCTGTTAAGCCTGTGCCCTTTGCGCCCTCTGCTCTGTTTCTCTAAGAGGTTTATACATGATTCAAGAAAAGTCCGCGACAGAATAACTCCCCTCCCCCATGATATACCTGACAAGAGGAGATGTTCTTTTATATTTCAGGTTGGAGGCAGTATTTTTAAATGATTTCTGACAAAAATTTTTGAACTCTTATTGTGATGACGTTGACGGTAAATAGATTTTTTTTGAGCAAAAACTGTTGACTTCCATTACATAGCTTAGATCCATTTGGAAGAAACACAAAGTCAGCTTCCTCCTGAATTTCTGTCTGCTGATGGGCTGCTTTGGAAATGAGAGCTGAGTTAAAACTAGTAGATCAAAGAGTTCACTAAAGCCAAATGCCTTAATAGTTCAGGTGCTTATTCAAAGCTTCTCCGAGCTTTCTGGATCTGCTGTGCCTGGAAACGTTACAGAAACCCTTTTGCCTGTGATAGGCTGACTGCTGCATGAGCTTTTCCTGCAAAAACCAAGAGGATAACTCATCTCGCACGCTTTTGGTGGTGATGTGTCTGCTTGTAGACAGAGCACCAGGAGTGCGGGAAGGATCCACAATGAAAATGAACGTGAGGAGAAAGCAAGTTAACCTCATGTTCCCTAAACTGTGCGAGCATATTAAGTTGAGCAGATTAGCCTCCTTTCTAACTCTCTCAAGAAAATCTTTGTGAAAGGACTTACACGAATTTGAACTGTTCTTTGAATTGCAGATGCAGGGACATCACATTGCGGGAAGCGTTTCTGTATTCATATTGTTCTCTTTTCTGTTTTCTTCTATAACACAACCCAGTGACATTATTAGGCTACATGGAATAGTTGTAAAGTCTCCGGTTGCCATGTGAAATTGGAAAGTTTTTTTAGTTTGTTGATGTTTTACAGTCATCAGGAGCAGAGTAGAGCAACAAAACAGCAATCTTTCTTTCAGGAAGAAGCTCAAAAGAATTTTTTCGACTGGAGCCACTTTATTATCATTCCATATCATGTCATTTTCTTAGCTTTGCAAAAGGCATAGTGCCTAACATTTTGAGATGTTAGTATTGCTTTCCTGAAAGATTTATTTTTAAACATATGATTGTCAGGAAGATAGAATGTTTATGAGTAAAATTCATTGGGAAAACAAAAACAGTTGGAAAATGGAACACCTTTGTATTTGTAAAGTCAAACAATTCAGGGAGAAGCGAGGTGTTTTGAAGAGAACATTGGAATTGATGGCCCTGGCATGTTGTTCTGGCAATGTCTTTAGACCCCGCTGCAGCCTGACAGATTAATTGGCAGCACGCACTAGCCTGTTGCAATCCCGGGTTCACAGATAGTTCTGACTAGATGAATGACGGACGGCGTGTTAGTAGGGTTGGGCAAAACAGTCTGGACAAGAACACAAACTGCTGCCCAAGTATCATGCTTAAATCAGGCTGACCCTTTCCCAAGGTCTGAATAAGTTTGAACCACAGAGGGGGAGGTTTCCCCTATGGGCTGCTTCCTGAAACGCTGCCTTTTAAAAAAGAAAAGGGCAAACTCACCCGTGTGTCCGCACTTTGATTGCATGCTGGAAATAGAGTAAAACAATAAATACATTGCAAAAGAGCATGTATCATCTAAACTTCCAGTCCAGCTTTGCAGTCCCAGGAACATAGAGAGTTGAAGTATTCTTCAGATGTGCAGCCAAATTTATCATGCCTGACTAAACCCATTTGTCAACACTATGAGGTTTGCTCATCACTAGCTAGTAAGCGCGTTTTGAAAAGAACTTGGTAGAGTCTGCAACCAAATCCCATCCAGAAAAAATATTACTATGTACTCTTAAGTACCTGGCTCAGTAAACTGTTGTGAATGAATTGTTATCCAGCTTCCCTATCAACCTTCTACATTACATATGAACTTTGCAGTTACGATGTTTAATTATTTTCCTGATCTAAATCTCATCATCTTGCCCACATAGGACAAAACAACACTGGAGACCCTGACTCAGCAACTGGCAGTAAAACAGAGTGAAGACGGGAAGTTTAGCCACGCAATGATGGATTTCAACATGAGTGGGGATTCTGATGGTCAGTACAAACGGCTTATCCTTATTTCCAGGTTTGTGTGTACGTGTCAACAGGATCTGAAGGAGAATCCCAAGTGTTTTGGAGGTCTAAGAGAGGTTAGCAATAAGTGGCTATGAAACAAGGCAGGAAAAAATGATTCATCATGTGGTGTTCTAAGTCTGGAGGTGATTTTTAGCCACCTCTTTTGTACACTGCGCTTCTCAAGACTGGACCAAGAATGTATTTCTGATGGTGAAAGGGAATAAAGGAGGAAAATAGATGTGGGATAAATGAGATCAAACGGTGAGTCCATGAATTATAGACCTGATTGTTCCATAGAAGATGCACACTCTGCATCTGTAGGAAATTTCTTGGTTGGATGAAGCAAGCGTAACATTCGTTTCTTTCTCTGCTGTTGCTTATGTTGTTACACAGAGGTAGGCACAAAACCAGGCAGATGTGTAAATGTTCATTTGCTAGTCAGAGACTTGCTTAAGAGCAGAAATGCCTGATTTTGCTATGTATCGCCCCCTTCCCATCACAAAAAAGGTAGAAGATAGGTAACATAATATGACCAGTGTTCTGTAAGCAAGAAAGGAAGAGAGTAAAAAGAAAATCTACATTGATAAGTGTTGGATTTACATTGTTAAGTAATAAAAGATGTTTTAGAAAAGCTGTTTAATGCTTTGTATTGAAAAAAACAATTGGAACTCTTCATCAAGTCGATACTGCGTGGTATTGAATCATTAGAACAACTAAAAACTAGACAATATACAGTATATGGTGTTTCCTACTGCTTCAAGTGAAAAGAAGAAATACTGTTAACCTCCTGACATAGGTTACTGATGGCAGAGGAAGCTGCATTATGAAACGTAAGCTGGGAATGTTTTTCTCTTTCTTTTTAGGAAGTGCAGGAGTTTCCGAGTCTAGAATTTATCGGGAATCCAGAGGACGTGGTAGCAATGAGCCCCATATCAAGCGCCCAATGAATGCATTCATGGTGTGGGCTAAAGACGAACGGAGGAAGATCCTTCAAGCCTTCCCTGACATGCACAACTCCAATATCAGCAAGATACTAGGTAAGAGTAATGGAGCACTGTTCTTTCAGTACCAAAACTCAAAAAACTTTTGACTGAGTAGAGCTGAGCACCTGGCACAAGAGAATTACCATCTCTAGAACGTCTATTTTGCTACTTAATGACTGCACCAAGGACAGGAGGCATAGGAGCTTCCACTGTGCTGCCCAGCGGTATGCATTAACCATAACCTGAAATGTTCTCGTGTCTTTGTAATTGCTGAGATGGTGGTGTTGGTTTTGGTGCGAAAACATGAACTGAATAGACAAAGAGGTTCATTTCATTAGACTGTTGAACAAGCACAAAGCGACTGCTATCGTTTATTTGCCCACATATTTCATCTAACTGGATTCTATGGGGTAGCACACCACAGTGTTTGATTTGCGGCATGGCACTTTCTGTTCAAATCAATGGCCATAGGGAAGAGATCCTGAAATACATCCTTTTATTTTATACGCTGACAGTTTCAAAGGATTTTTATTATTTTCCTGTTATATTAAATTTCCTTTTAGTATGTGATCTCTATCACGAGCTGCTTTTATTCTAAATATTCTGAAAAGAATCCTGAAATCAAAAAAGAAACATCAGAACTAATTTCTATATCCTCTCCTCTTCACATCCCGAGCAATATCTGTCATGAACATCGTCTACTGAATTTCATGCCATAGTCTTCCAGCTTTTCACTACTTACTCAAATTCCATGGACCACGTTCTGTCTTAAGTTATTCCTCTGTGACACACTGAATCATACAGACGGTGAATAATGAGAATCTCTGAGGCAAATGAATTAGTCTTCTGCAGAAAAAAAAAAAAAAATCTGTGACCAAATCGGAAATATTCCGTTTTTACTGATAAAGACTGTGTTACAGGACCTAAACGTCCCTCAGGCCAGTGGATAAAAGCTTAAGCAGGGAACATGTTTACCTGGTCTGCTCTGCAAGTCTCATTGGTTTTGCAGACAACTCGAGAGATGTAGCACAGTTGTAATGACAGCATTAACCAGCTGCAGGGCTGGTAAATATGCTGAGCTTAGACTGGTCAGGGTTTGAAGTGTAGCTTGATTAGAGGAATATTATGAAAAGTTAGCAGGGGGCAAGTGGAAGTGAGATAAATTGGTCGGAGAGGCAGAATGTATTGACTGTGGATGGCAGATGTGACGATATTAACCCATGATTAAAAGGGTGGTACGAGATGATTAGATTAGTTATGGGAACAGGATTAGAAGGCTAAATTGGTTATGTTGATGTATATATAAAATAACCTTATACTAGTTAAAAGGGATTATACTGGTCAGAGGTGTATGATGTGATTAGACTGAGGACAGGGCAGTAATAGTTTTGGTCTGTTTCTAAATTGAGAGTAGACCTGGTTAAACCTGTTTTTAAATAATCAGCTTCAGAAATCTACAAGATCATTCTGAATGGCCCTTTTCATACAGAAAGTACAAAGAGAGCTTGATGTTTTCCCTCTTAACTGATTGTTTTGGATAACAACCTCCGACAGCACGCTGCTAATTCATTCTGCTTAAAACAGGCGCTTGAGCTGGGCTGACATTTTACGCAGTCTCTGGGGATCCTGGTTGACATTTTAAAGGGCTTCTAAGCATTTTATAATACCCTAAAATCTGGTTTTAATAAGCCATTCTGCTGAAATTGTTAACATAAGGAATCACCTTTTACTATTTGGCGCTAGATCAGGGAGATATGGGGACATCTTTTTCTGATTAGATATACAGTAGTTGGAGTAAAATGTGCAAATTCATTACAGATCCTGTTGAGGTGACAGACAGTATAGCTGACTCCAAACTCTTTCTGTTTTGCTGCCAGATATGGGGAAAAGCAAGGTCTGAAGCAGTAAGAGATGATGTTTCTACTTCTTTCCGGCATCGCATTTAATTTTTTTATTCCACCTATGCAATGGAGAGGGATGTCCTGACGTCTTCTTTCTTGACAGAAACGTTACAAAGGTCTTCCCTCAATTGCAAAAGGGCAGTCTTTTGAAGTCAGCAGGGAGCTCTCTGTTAACTGGTGTAGGGTGAGCAACTAGAAGCTTACAGTTCAGCCAGGTATTAGGGCCTCTTTATTAGAAAGCCACAATTTTTTCTACCAGTTTTGTAGCAGCACTGCTATACATTGAGGTCAGAGAGCTCGTTGTCACAGGGACTGACTTAGATGGAGTCGTCACCGATCAGGGGTCATTTTTGCAATAAAATGAGAGGAGGTGCCCTTCCCAGCACTATAATTCTCTAGGGATTATGTTTGACACTGTGGTATTATGTTTTGAGCATAAAAATTAGATACATGGATTTGTCACTAAATTCATCTGTGCATACGTTTGTCATCCATCTGTTCATTGCAACTTAAACTTGTGGGTAATGATTTTTTTTTTAGTAAATGTTAAAAAACTGCTAAAATGGGTCTGCTGGACCCTATCAATTTAATAATGCATTGTTTAGATATTTCTGTAAATATTTTAATTAATTGCACTGAGAAATCTACATAAAGAGATTAAGAAAAGATGAGGTTAGATACTACCTTCAGAAATTCTCTTGTGGATGCGTAAGTGTGAATATAAACCTATACACATATGTAATACACGTGTTGGTGTGTGAGAGGGTATTTTTTTAAAGGTAAAATCAGCCTGATTCAGATACTTAGATTGAAAAATGTCAGTCTAACAGACTAAAAGTTAGGCAGTGTTACAAACAGCTGAAAATTCTTGTTTGAGAAACTTGGCTTTAAATGGGTGGTAAGCAGAGGTCCCAACCCCACCTGGGCCACGTGCGTGCGTGCCCGAGCACAAGTGCCGGGGCACACGTGGGGACATCTCTTTTCTGCCCTGGGCTCAAACAGGTGGCCCCTACAGCCGTGTTCACAGTCCTTCTGTGGGCTCAGCTCTAACTGCCCCAGCTCACTTTGGGGCAGGAGCCATGTGTGGGTTCACAAAGTCTGAGAATTTTCTCATTTATTTTCTAAATGCTTCAGCCGCCGGATCAGGGAGAATGGTGTGACAATCCTGCTTGTCGTTATGGATGCATCCAGGGAGGGGAATGGGTTCTTGTTTTCATAGTCAAGGAGAAATGCCTTGCATACTTGACCCACTCAAAGCTTTCTAACACAGATGGTGAACAGAAAGCTCACCCAAGAGTGTAAATCTTCCCTTAAAAAGAATGATTTTTCAAGATTCTTTAATCGCACCTTGTTTGAGCTTGGAGTGGCACTCTGCACAGGTACCCATGCCTGCCTGTGTATCTTTATAAACATGTAAAACGATGGCAGATAAAGCTATTACAAATGTATTTTGTCCAAACACAAGGTATTTTTAACCAATTTTAGTATGCTGATTGACGATACTCATTCATAGCTTAGTTTGCCTGTGGGTGCAAACTCAAAGGTGAGAGTTATATATTCTTCAAACTTTTCAAAATTTCAGATGAAGACCAATCAGAGAGCTGGCTGGACTTTGTATATCAGAAAGAAAATAAGTGAAAAAGATAAAATGTAAAATACAAAGGTTTATCATCACAAAATGTACCCGTTTTCGAAATTTATTTTGACAGGATTGTTTGTTTAATTGTTTACAATACTTCACAACATACTAGTAAATTATATTTAGTATATTTTGTGAAAGCGGTAAAGTCATAGTATCATTGCAGAAGGCAGCTATTAAAAATTTGCTAGGAAGAGAGGTGAGACTGCCAGGATTTTTGTTGTATTGAGTTTGCAGCTTAGGAAGGAAAAACATAACAAATGACATTTATGTATAAATATTGTATGTGTAACTGCATGTACAAATATTATGCATCAAATTTTCAGGTTTTATGGCCCGCCCTGATCTTTCAAAGATTTACGTGTTTGCCTAAATTCACTCACTATTTAGAGATCTTTTCACATGAAGGGGTAGGAATCTGCCTGCCCAGATCTGACTGTAGGATTGGAGTAAGTGAGCTAGCACAGCAAAAGAGAAATTGTGCTGGGATACAACATTTTCATGGCAATTTTGCAACAACTGATTTTAATTTCTACCTTTCTGTCTGTCCATTGGTCTCAGAATATATCTGAGTTCCTACATTGCAGGTCCTCTCACAGCATGTAAAGCAAATTTCAAGATTTGTTTAAAGACTGAGGTTTTCAACTTTATTATTCATAAATAAAAACTGATTCATCAGC